ATGTGAAAACAAAAACAACAGGTTAATTTCGCACCCTGTGTCAACTAACTCTATTTTGTTTATTATATAAGATAAATATTTCAGAAAGTACCTTAATATTCCTTTTCTGTCAAGGATGAAACTGAAACATGAAGCATATACAGATTTTTGTCATTTACTGCTAACTCAATGAAAATGTTCATATTTCCAAAATATGAGACTTGATCTTGTTGATATTTATCTTATTTCTTTGGTTTGAAGAAGAACACATGCACTGAGATGTATTTGAGGTATTGTTGCTGCTGGTTAATTTTTTTAAATAAATGTAATGTTTTAAAGAATTCTTTAGATTTTAAACAGTATCAATGTTATCTTTGAGTTTATTATGTTGTGTACAGAAAACATGACAAAACCAAACAAGTCTTACAAAAAATGGATGCTGTAGAATTAGACAGTAAATTTTGGTATTCCATAACTGGTGTCTAAATGTATTACATCTAGCTATTTTAACAATTTAAATTACATGATAAGTAGTGATAAAATTTTATAATATTTGTTTATTAAGTTTGTAGTATGAATTTGCAATAGTTGCTTTTCACTAAATTTGAAATAAGGGTTCAATCTCCCTTCTTCGTCTATTGTACTCATGTTGTTATTGTAGTTATATGATGTATCATTTGTAACCAAATATCTTAAAAATCCATGAATTATTTCTTCATTGTTAACAGTCAGAGATTGGATTGTGGAGGCTCCCCAAATTGGGAGCCTCCTGGTCCACACTCCCAGTTCAAATCTTTGCCTGTAAAGCCCAATCTTTGTGATTTCTGCAGGTATTTACAGAAACATGATGGACAACCAAGCAAATGTCATCTGGTTGCATTGTAAACATACAATTATGCCAATTATATGACTAGATTAGTCTTTTGAGGAGAAAATGTGTTACAAAATTAGCCTAAAAAGGCCAAAATTGGCCAGCTTCAAAGACAATTTTCAAGTAACCAAGCATTCTCTTATATCTTCAACCATTTTTCTCTCTGTTTCAATGGTTTTTATCATGGTTCCAAACTCAGTGTTGGTGTGGGAATCATTAAAAGAAATTCTACTTTGGGAGGGTCCACACTCCCACTTTCACCACTGATTGTCACTTCATGTTTTGTTAAATTTCATATAGTTTGGCTATGTTATAGCCCATTTTGCAATATAATCAGGGCCAATTCAAGATTTTAGTGTAGCCCAAACTTGGTACTTTATACTGGATTCCAATTTCCAACCTTCAGCTGCGTTTTTAAGGTAAAATCAGGAAATATCTGCAGATAATGATATGTCCAAGACTGTGTTTTATGGCCGGAACATCAAGGCTCCTGGGCAGAGCGTTGACGATGCCAAAGTAGACCTCCTTAAAAACATTCCCACACCAACACTGAGTTTGGAATATGGATAAATGCCATAGATACAGAGAGAAAAATGGTTGAATTTTAGTATAAGAGTATGCCTTGTTACTTGAAAATTATCTGACAATGCTAACTTTAGCTTAAAAGTCAGGAAATATCTGCCATTTTGAACATGTTTTTGGCTGAATTGAACCACATTTTCTCCTTTCCAGTCTGATCTTGTCACACAATTGGTACAGTGTTTCATTTACAATGCAACCTGATTGCATTTGCATGATTTTCTTGAAGTTTCTGCAAAAAATTGTCATTAATCATGCAGAAATCACAAGAATAAGGCCTTACTTGCAAAGATTTGAACTGGGAGTGTTGAGGCTCCCGGTTTTGGGAGCCTCCACATCTGGTCTCTGATGGGTTAAGGGAACTATTTTAGCCCGTGGGTTGTTCTGGAAAGCAAGATTAAACCCAACTCACTCACTCACAAACCTGTGGTTATTTTTCCTACTCGTAACAAGCACTCTGAAATAAAACGAATGTCATTAAGTCCAGACCAGGGACCATATATAAATGATCTCTGGCCAGACCAGTTTAATTTCTTATTTATGAAACCTCCTGTCATATGTTAACAACACCACACAGACAAAAGAAAAATCTGTCCTAATATATAACCCTGCACACATAAAGTAATATGTCAAATATAACAATTGTGATGTTATTCAGGCATGAAAAAAACTCCCCCACACCACACCCACCCTTAAAAAAGGGAGGAAAGGATTATGGTATACATAATGGGAACTTGTGTAGTATTATCAATGTTCATGTGTCGCTGTCTTATATGACATATTCTTCAGAGCTGTTGCCTGCCATGATGTAAGATGTTCCTTATCAAAACCTAAGAATCTCCAATATGACTTCCATCTTCTAAATGAAAATATCACGTTTTAGGTAGTCACTTCTAATTTTGGACTTCTTAATCATGCATTAGTTACCCAATTTTCAGCCACTCACTTGGCCTTTAATACTGTTACTTGAGTATGAAGTAAACTGAAGTAACAGTATTTAAGGTGTAGTTAAGTCAGGGCTTTTGAAGGAGGCCCTCCTAAAGAGCAGGGTGGAGTTCTAATGTTGTGTTTATTACCCGGGTACCCACTCTAGGTCTCAGGAGATGTCTCAAAATGTCCGATTGGGATATTTTTTAGTATAGGTACCCGAGTTACCCGTCCCAGCCCTGGTATTTATGTAACAGTAACCAACAGAATGCCTTACTTTCCTGTTGGATTACTGTCAGTCAACAATCTTACCATATGCAGTTACATCACAGATACCGCCATGCTCAGTGATTATAATCCTCAGTAATGAGCCACCCAACTGTGCAACTCATCTCTTTTATGAACAATAGAAAGAAAGATATGCCAAAATATTCTTTGCTAGTCAAACTATCAGTCAAGCAAAATGGGAGGTCCAGCGAGCAGGTGTTCAGAAAGCCCTGAGTTGACTTGGCCCTTAGCTGAAAACTCTGAAAGGAATTGGCAAAACTAATTTTGTTCTATATTTGTGAAGTTACTGTTATAGTTTTCTAACATTCCTGTTTCAGTTTTCTTTGCATGTTTTACAGTAATATACATGTACCTATTTCCTTACATTAACTTATCCTGGTATCCTAAGACTATAAAAATTCTTATTTACATTTTATATTTTTAGAAATCATCATGCCTCCAGCAGCCTTAGGACAGACTTTGTATGAAGCCTTTGAACTACTTCTCAGTGGAACAAATGTACCAGTTAAAGAAAGAACTCAGCTACAGATAGTAGCATACAAAAAGATCAGCCTGTATAAACTTGAGTTGAAGATGATTCAAAACCCTGCATCTGGGAAGCAGGAAAAGAGGATTGTAACGAAAAGCAAAATAGTTGCCAAAAGGAGTGAAATTAAACACATCATAAGAAGTTTCAGCAAGGAAACAAAAGGTGCTGGCTCAAAACGATTGTATAATATCATATCAAAGTACTTTCATGGCATAAGGAGATCACAAATTCTTGACTGGCTAAAGGAGAGTAAAACTATGACAAAGCTCCGGCCACAATTTTCAAATATAGCACCAATGAAACCAGTGTATTCCAATGCTCCCATGGAGAGACACCAGATTGACATTGTGGACCTGTCTGCAGTAGCAGAAGAAAAAGACAGGAAAACATACAAATATGTGCTTTCGATTTTGGATAACTTTTCCAGATTTCTGTGGCTTGTCCCAATAACAGATAAGTCTTCAGAAACTGTAGCAAAATCGTTGACTGAAATTTATTTAGACCATCAGTGGGGCACCCCTAAAATCATCCAAACAGATCAAGGGGGTGAATTTAAAGGCATGGTGAAGACCCTCTGTGGCAGACTTGGCGTGCGACTCATCCATTCGAGGGCCTATCATCCCCAATCCCAAGGAAAGGTATGTTTAGCACACCTGATAAAGGGGCTACTTATAGTATTTGCACTGTTTTGTCAGCTGCTGCAAACTGTCTTGGCTATTAGTTTGTTGCAAAGATCCTTTCGACTCATATTGCAGGCATAGTACCTGCCTTTTTTAATCGGGTCATCATGAAGGTCAAATGTCGAAGTATGTTCAGGTTCAGATTCATGAGTATTAAGCATAATCACTACACTGCTAAATGGCAACATACTTTTCATCAGTAAGGACTTTCTTTCTTAGTATTGTTGTATGGTATTGTAGCTGTTGGGACAAACATAGAATGATGGGACAAACATATGCAGACGTGCCTAATCTACCAGTTTCCCATTTTACATCCAGTGTATTTGTTTGCTGGCCTGGGGATTATGTATTCCACATATGCAATCAGTGTTATCAATTTTAGGGACTAAATAAGCAATTTCAAACAGATTTTGTGTCTTTACTCCATTTATCTTGCCCTTTATGTTTGGATTCAATATATTTATATAACATTCTTTTCTTTTGAAAACACATTACTTTATCTACTACTTACCAGTAAAACATCCCGTCAAATACTAGCCAGAACATGAAAACCCCTACTTACATAAGATATTATTTGCTTGGACTGGGAAAATAATCTGCCTGTTTGGGGTGATCAAGAGTTTGCAAGTATGCATTTGACAATAGGTTATTCACATTTTTGTTTGTAATTTAATGATCTCTTGAATATTCTGACTCTTTTTACTAACACTTCCAGAGTGAGCGGTCACACAGATCATGGAAGGATTGTCTCCGTTATGACATGCAGAATCTTGGTGATGTTTCCTGGGTGCACTCACTGCCAGACTATTGTCGGATTCACAATGAATCTCTCAATACATCACTTGGTGAGCATTTAAATCATGTAAATATGTTGAACAAACTGAGTTTTTGTTTATGTACATTCAAATTGTACATGAAGATATTTCATAAAGATTGTCGATTTATCAATTTAATGATGTTGCAGTGTTACATGCTAGCTTTTAATAGCATGACTTTGACATGTTCATTAAACTTGCTTTAGAACAATGGAATATGCAAAAACTTTGCCAAAGAACAATTCATATCTGTGAAAACATCGTACTAGCATATATGTTAAAGAATCATGAATATTAGCACAATATTCCTGAACTAATGAAACTTATTTTTGGTCAGGTGTATGTCCATATAAAGCGATGTTTGGCTTTGAACCCCATCGCTTGACAAGACTGTTGAAGGCTGGTGGTGATGGTGTTGAAGACTGCGAGGTGGAAGAGGTTGAAGAACAGGAACAGATGGAAGTAAGAACTGTGTACTTAAAACTAAAATGAATTTTCTTAAATCCAGAATCCTCCATAAAATGCTGACATGCTTACAGTATCAGGAAAAATGTGTCTGCCAAAATCAAAATTATTATATTTAACTTGAATGACAGGAACCACTTTTGCTCTCTCTTTTTTTGCCTTCAGAACACAAAAAGTCAGATGTAAGTGTTAAAAATACCAGGAAGTCCCAACATTGTGAAGTTATAAACTTCAGAAGTGACCAAGAGACGTTTACTTAAGCCGGGAAAGTAAAACAATCCTATAATGCATAATTCAGTTAAGTCATAAGAAAGACTAAACATTTTTACAGTAATTGAAGTTAATAAATACAAGTTTGTTTGTAAAAGGAATACTAATATATCATAATAGATATGTTACGTACCTTGTGGTTATTTATTCTCAGCCAAAAAAGATTTTCAGTTTTCATCTTTAAAAAGTATTAACATTTCAAATGTTGACCAGTGAACAGAGATTTTCAATACATATACATTTGTTTCTGATAGGTCATATCTTCATATTGCATATGTAACAGTTGTTAAACAAACTGAGATAAGTTTAAATTTTTTGCTTAAAGTGACCATCAGAATAATACCATTTCTTTGTCAAAAATGTACTTTTAGTATCAAGTGACAAGACAATGGTTAGCAATATGCATACCCATAGCTAACTCATTTCAGATTTAAATTATCATAAGTATTATAGTAACATTTGTGAAGTCATAGAATGATGCATTGTGGGAAAGTGCTGTATTAGAAGTGTTTGAAATCGGAAATTACATTCCCTCAATTTACCAAACATTGAACATTGACATTTTCATTGTTGAGTGGAATATTTTTTCACAATCTTTACACCATGACAGGACTATTTGTGATGATGGTATTATATTATCAAACACAAGCACTAACAAGAAGTGAAAAGCAAAAGTTTAGGTTGTCACTACTTTATTATAATAATTGATACTGATATATATAATTTGCAGGCTAGCAATGAAGATGTGACAGTATCAAAAGATGTGTGTGCACGCTTGAAAGAACTTAGGAATATCAGGAAAGACATCTGCAACAAATCGGATAAAACTTCAAGAAAGATGGTTGAGAAAGGCATGAAGAGGAAACCTTTGGTTGACTATGAAGTCGGCGAGATTGTGCTAGTTCGCCACAAGGGTCTGGGAAAGGGCGTGAAAAGAGGTGGGAGAAAAATAACTTCACCAAAAGCAAAGGAGGGAACTATTCTCAAAATCAACAGTAAAACCCATACATTTAACATTAAAATTGGAAAAGCTGTGTCTTGGCACAAATTGGAGGACATAACCTCATTGACTCAATCCAAGGAAGACAAGAGGTCTAAGAAAAGAGACAGGAGTCAAAGCCCTCGTCAAAGCCCTCGTCGAAGCCCTCGTCAAAGCCCTCGTCGAAGCCCTCGTCGAAGCCCTCGTCAAACCCCTCATCAAACCCCTCGTCAAAGTAGGTTTTATTTCATTTTAATACTCATAATAGCAGAACAACAAACCCCATGCATCATTTCAATAAATTCCCAAATTTTAGTCACTCTGACAATCCAAAAGGTATTTCTTTCCAGTTCATTCTCACAAAGGTGAAATCTTTAGGCTTGTAAAAACAAAACTTCCCTTATGCATGTCGCCTTCCTGAGAATGTCTCCAGTAACAGAAACAATGGAAGGTGACGATGTGTTCACATCATGTTGGATAATTTACTATTATTGTTGTGTTTTTGAAATATCTTGTTAAAAAAATTAAGGAAGGCAGATGTTGGTTTGACATATATGTAGCATGACTTCAAAACTATACACAAATACACCATACAACAGGAGGTAAACTAAAAAAACGTTTTTGTTGCAGGTGTAAAGAAGACATTTACACCTGCCTTTACTTCAGATGTGTGTTCAAGTGAAGGTAATACTTTACTGTCTGATTTTATTAGGGCATAATAATCAGTCAATTTAACTCACAAAGATGCCCTTTATACTATTTGTGCAACGACTTATAACCTCAGTTATGTGATATGATGTTAATTTTAGCCAGCACACTGGACTGAATGCCGTTATGATGATTGGGTAACAAATCCTTCTCAGAAAAAATATAAGAAGGGAAGGTTAGGACTTCATAGAGCAATTTATATTCTTTATTACTGTTATTATTATTGCCCATCATTATTTTGAAGTAGAAAATTGAGAAGAAATGAATGAAGTATATAGTTTTTAAAGAGATGTACATTGGTCTGGTATTACATGATGTCAACTTTGATCGAATAACAATAAGAGCTGAATAGCATGAAAGTGTATACCATGTAAATACCCTCTAAGTGCAACAATTTGCCATTAACTGACCTGATGATATCAATTGTAAAGCATGCTATGATGGTGAGTGGTATTTAAAGCAGGACTAAGTAAACATGCAAAGTTAACTACTGGGGTATCATGTGTCATGTACTTCGAGCGTAACCCTTCATGGTTTTGAATTTGACACTATATAGGTTTATAAGGAACTTAAACCAGTCTTTCTCTTTCAGCTGAATTTATCGAAATTCTAGAAAAGCTGAAAAGATTCAGCAGTTCCCGAGCTACACCAAATAGTTTGGAAAAACTGGAAGAGATGGCTGGCAAGAGAGGTTATGCTGTTAGACATAACTTAGGAGGTGGTGACTGCATGTTTCTTGCACTCAGCCAACAGATTTATCATCAGCTGGATTTAGAGGTCAATGCCCTTGAAGTCAGGGACATGGTGGTTGACCATCTGCAGAAAAACCCCCGAACGGTAAGTATGGTAGATGCAATAATGACATGAAGGGAAAACAGCAGATTTAGTCCTTATTAATTCCACTGTTATAGCTATTATATTATAACGACTTATACTGATAATTTTGTATAGGGCATTAATATGACTTACTCTTGAGGTTTATACTATTCTAAAGTACCAGAAAAACATGTTTAGCATATATCTTGACATTATTTTGTAAACTGTAAAGAGTTACAAGCTAGACCAGTTTAGTTGATGCCCAGATCTTGATCAATATTGTGTAATCTTGAAGAAAAAGCAAAAATGGGTTTGGTAATGATAAACTTAAATTGAAAGACAATAACCATGACTTTATTCCAAAGACTTTGAGGTCCTACTACTATTTTTTTTCTACCATGATGTGTGCATATGCAGTTAAGTTCTTATCTTTTGTTAGGTTAACATGGTTAATTGAATATTAATTCTGGCCTGTATAAAAAAAATAATTTGACTGGTGGGATAGGCAATTTAATGTAAATAAAGTATGTATTTCAGATTGATGGTACACATCTGAGGAACTTTGTTCCGGAAAAAAAGGAGTGGAACACATATTTGGACGAGATGCTGCAGAAAGGGACATGGGGAGACAATCTCATGCTGATGGGAGCGGCAGACGTCCTAGAAGTCACGATTAAAGTCATTAGCACATGGTCAGATGAGCCCATAGTCATCAAACCCAGGGAAAAAAAGGCCAGCCTCAGAACACTATGTCTAGGTCATCTGGCAGAGTTCCACTATGTCAGCTTGGAAAAAAAAGGTACCCTAGCGTTGAGAATTCTTGTAAGCAGTGAGTGCAAACTATTAAGAGTTAAGTGATAACTGCTATCATCATCTATATTTCCCTTTGCTTATAGTCGTATCATGTAGATAGATCACACATCTCTGCCCTTGAATCAATATCTGTATCTTAGACTAGTTTAAACTATTCCATATAATCTGGGTCCTCAGTGTGTCCCGTCATATAATTTTAAAACCTAATGTAGATACTCCGTTCATGGGTTAAAGTAGTGTGAAAGTGAACGTGATTAATAATATTATTACTGTAGTAGATTTTACATAAAATGAGGCTAAGTTCCTCAGATTTATTCCAGTATCTCCCAATTTGAGATCAAGCACCCGCAGCATTGCTTTAATGTAAGTCAGCAAAATAATAAATATGTAGTGTTGTTTCATATTTTTTCCTTCAAATAATCTTTCTATTCTTCAGACCAGAAGTGCAGAACTTGCCACCAAACGCTAAGTGTCTGCAGATGTGCTGTAAGCATTAATGGTAAGAGAATGTAAATGTTTCTTTAACGTCACAGAAATGCTAGTGACAACTTTTCAACCTACTGTGTCACAGGCATGGGCTGGAACTTCTCATTTGGGCATATGTGGGAGGCAATTAAAGCAGGCAAATTTGTTTCCTTGTATTGTGCGCTAAATATATATAAAATCACTATCAATAAAAATAGATATGTAATTTGAATTTTTACTTCTAATTGATTTTCCTTTCTTATGAAAACTAATTAATAGTTAAATGAAGTTTAAGTAACATGAACTTTAAGTAACATCTGAAAAGACTTAATGTTTTCTTGTTCGTTAAATTGCAATGGAGATAATTCAGTGTTGTTTATTTTAACTCTGTTTTTGTTATTAATTGTTTCATGTTTTCAGTAATGTACTTTTGTGAACATCTATTGAATGTGTTAATTGTACGTAAGTGTAATTTTTCCCACAGCTGACGCTTCTGACAATGATGACAGCTGTAGGTCACCCAGTCTATCAAGTGGAGATGAATCAGACAATGATGGTGTGTGTTTACTCCTAATAAAACAAAGTCTCATTCTTAACACAAGATTCTTTTGTGTCACAATCATTTCCATCCATAATTATACCCCCGTTTACGAAGTAAATCGGGGGTATATAGCGTTCCGTTCGTCCGTCCTTCCTTCTGTCCGAGCTTTTGTACGGCCCATAACTTTTTAACCATGCACCCTAGCTTCACCAAACTTGCTACACACATTTACCACAATGAGTGCTTGTGCCTTTGGCTAGTTTGAAGATTCTGATTTTTTTATTTTTGCTGTTTCCATGGAATCATGGTGAAACATAAATTTTGGGTAGAGTTTTTGTACAATCCATTTTTACAATATTATGTATCCTAGCTTCAAACTTGCTATATTAACCACTATGATTGTTTTTTATCTTTTATAAGATTCTAAAAGTTTTCTATTTTGCTGTTTTCATGGAAACATGATGGAATTTAGAAATTTTGATGTCTGGTTTTGTATAGCTAATATATTTTCCAAAATTGTTTCCACTCATGTAGATCATCATAAGTATCTGTGCTTTGTGTTAGTTTGAATTTATGAATTCTTTACCATATTTGTAAAGGCTAGATGGAAATTATAAATTTATTGATTTTCTTATATGATACTGTTCCATTTTTTATGTGTTTTTATATCAACAATTTTTGGTCCTTTTGATAAATCTTCTTATGTAACTCCTCATTCAAATTTTTATTCAAAGGTGTTCATGGTGATCTACTTCCTCGTAGTGAACACTGGTAACATGGGAGATTTTGGGGGGGTCAATTGTCACTGGAACTCAATCTTAGTTTTTAAAACATTGAAGTTAAAATCAGTTAGAAATATGTAATATTTCATTAATTAACAAACTATTTACTATTTGTTGTTGACCAGCGGGGATAACGGGGGTATGTGAGCTTTGCTCACTTCTTTCTTGTTATGAAATTGATATCTCTGCTGTACAAATTAAGAACCATGATTTTCATGATTAACTTCTAATGTAGAATTTCAAATCTTTATAATACTATTGTATTGTCACCTTTGATGCTTTTTCATTTAATACAAGAGGACATACTGGGCATCAACACATGTTTTTGTTTCACATTGACCTGACATTTGTCCTTGCCCTTACCCACAAATTATCAATACGGATTAATCATGTTAATACTAAAATTACTTTAATTTACTATTCAGGTTCCCCTCGAGTCACAGCTGATTTCTTTGAAAACAAGGTGAGATATTACTACACATGTATCTGCAGAAACCATAGTACATCTAGCTGCAAGAACCATAGGACATTTAGCTGCCAAAACCATAGTACATCTAGCTGCAGAAACCATAGTACATCTAGCTGCAAAAAACATTGTACATCTAGCTGCAGAAACCATAGTACATCTAGCTGCAAAAAACATTGTACATCTAGCTGCAGAAACCATAGTACATCTAGCTGCAGAAACCATAGTACATCTAGCTGCAAAAAACATTGTACATCTAGCTGCAAAAAACATTGTACATCTAGCTGCAAAAAACATTGTACATCTAGCTGCAAAAAACATAGTACATCTAGCTGCAAAAACCATAGTACATCTAGCTGCAAAAAACATTGTACATCTAGCTGCAAAAAACATTGTACATCTAGCTGCAAAAAACATTGTACATCTAGCTGCAAAAACCATAGTACATCTAGCTGCAAAAAACATAGTACATCTAGCTGCGGAAACCATATACCAGCTGTACATATTGGGGTAGTAATTATAGGGTGCAACATCACAGAGTTATGGTTTCTGCAGCCAGACTACATCTTATGCTTAAACTTAATTATACATATCTCTGACATTAATTATGTTTGATTTGTCATAACACTATCCAGAATTCCCAACTACACTCAGCTGCCAGCTAGACTTTCTTAATGAGTTCAACTCAGATCCCCCTGTTTCCTACCCTGCAGTACCTTGTCTTTGCTATCATGGACAGGCTGAGGGACTAGTTGTTGTTTTAGTTTTAGGACTTTATAAATTTTGATTTTTTTTAGTTTCCATGGCAACAAGTTGGACTTAGCATTAATATGAGGGTAGGGTTGGTTCGCAGAGTGTAACTGAAAAAACGTTCAATACTTTCTAACAAAACTTCTGAAATGGTGCCTTTTAATATTTAGAAATTTTTGAATGTTTTATTTTTTTAACATTTTTATGGCAACAAGTTGGACTTCTATGAGGGTAGGGTTCATTTCCAGAAAATAACTGCTAAACCATGTAGTATTTTGAATCAAACACATGCTGAACTGGTGCCTTTTGCTGTTCAACAATTTTAGAACGTTTTATTTTAAGGTTTTCATGGCAGCTATTTGAACTTGGGCTTAAAGAAATGTTGGGTTAGTTTACCTGGTTTCGGACCATTACATTTTAAGGTTGGCAGGGAATATAGATGACTTCGTCGACTATATGCTTGTTGAAATTGAAACTGTTAAAGCGGAAACTGTCTAATGAATTGACTGTTTGAATTTTCTTCACAGAAACCAGAAGTTTGCTGTTACATTAAGAGCCTTTTACAGGGAAGGTTCAGTTAATATACTCTATAAAGTACATGGCCATGGAAAATGATCTGAAGTCCTAAACATGCACATCACATCTAGCCAAAATAAACCAATTCAATGTATGTATCCTTTCCTTTTATATAACACTGTTGTTGATATTCCTGTACATCAGATATGAATATGGAAATTATTTATTGAAAGTTAACAGTCACATATACACCAATATCACACAACAGAGTCAATATAAAATGAATGTGGCATTCTTGAGGCACTTTTTTCTTTACAGTGAGGACAAAGAAGGACGTGGTGAGAGACACAACTGGTTTGTTACCAAGTATCCCTACCATGAAGTCAAGGCTGGATTTGGGTCAGATTTTGTGTCTGCTGAAGTAAGAAAATGAATTCATATGTAAAGCTAAATTTCATTAAAGTATGAGAATGATAATGTTCACAATTAATTCCTAAGTCCACAATTTAGTAGAGAAAATTTCCAAAATTTCATCGTTGAAAAAATTCCAATCCCATGACTGTAACAATTCTTATGCAATAAACACAATGTATATGTACTTTTGTTTCTGACATACACTTCTCTGCATATAGGTAAAATATAAGTGTTCATGAAGATTAAAGTAAAATGTTTGGGTGAAAAAATGGCAAATGGTTGATGAAATCAGTTGCTTAGTGAATTGTTCTTTATACATGGCAAAACAAATTTCAGATGTATGGGCACATACTTCAGTGGCTGGGGCAATCCTTGACACGCCGTCTAGTGAGGGATAAACGGTAAGAATAATGGTGAATAGTGTAGATTCTGTTCTAAACATCCAAATGGCACAAATTTAAAATCAGTGTAAATTCACAGTTGTTGTTTTGAGCATATATTTACCAGTGTTGTAACCAGAATTTTACCAAATTGAATGAGAACAGAGCAGTAGTTGAAATGTGATAAGGAAAAGTTTACATCTAAAGTATATTCACAGAAGAAACTTATCATTTGATTAGACATACAGATGAAATTGATACATTGAAAATTGCTCATAGTCTAAATTTCACATTAATGTCACTGACCACCTTTGATTCCTTTCAGTCGCCCTTACACTAAGTCAGTGACTCAGATCTTTACTGTGCCGGATGTTGATGCAAATCTCAGGGAACTTCCAATGGAGTACACACAGTAAGCACAGAAAATACAATTTATTATTCTATTTCTATCGGTGAAATACTGCATTTATTGGTTAAAATAAAACCTGCATCTTCACTGAGTTAGATATCAAAATCAAAAAGTAAACAGTGTGATGACGTAATGCGTATCACCAGTCAACAAGACGACTGACACAGTGAATGTACTGAATTTGCGAGTCATTGGTACGGTTTTCATAATATTCAGCAATAGGAAGAATAGAATAAATAGAACATTTGACTTTTCCTGTCGAACACTATGTTTATGTCATCTCGTCTAGTTGAAATTTAATTTAATTCTAAGTTTAATTTTTACACTTGCGGCTACGCCACTCACTCAATACAAACTAGTCAACTTCACTCAACAAGATAAACACTGTATTCGACAGGAAAAGTCAAATATCCTCTATACGTGTCTGTCTCCTTCAGTTAGAAAAACAAACATGTCTGTTACATTAAATTGTGTATTATGTGTACAGGTTTGCTTACTTGATTTCTGGTACATAGTTATAGGTACAATGTTGTTAGATAAATTATTATTAAACACTCACTGGAATGAATGCTAAACAGAAAAGAACCAATTTGGTGAAGGGAACAGAGATTCAGTCATATTTTGTTAGAATATCTCCAACATTGGAAAAACATTTAGTATTGTGAAAATGGAGACACCAAAGAATGAGATAATAGTCTTGTAAAGTAATAATCAACTACAATGTAACTAGTGAAGCCACTGAAAATAAATATATTCATTGTAATGGTAAAAAACTCATTCTTTGAAATTTTGGCAAATAAATGATTTCCAATTATTCCAGTTACAACTTACATTTATGAAACTGGAACTGGAGATATTTATTTTATTCTTAAAATTGAGTGTGGTTATAAATATGCTCTAATTTATTACAGGGCTGCATGGCACTACATTCTGTATGTGGCCATTAAGGAAGTAATCGTATTCCTTGCCGAGAAACTGACAGGGAGAACCTACTCTTCAATCAACCCAGAGTGTCAAAGGACAGAATTGCATCCAAAAGAGCTTTAATTGCATAATTATGATGCTCTTTTGAAAGGGTTACTGTTTTAATGAATGCAGCCAACTCATTGATGCCTTGATGTGGTTTGGTTGTTCGCTGTACCTTTCTTTCATTCACATAAGGACCAGTGAAGATTCCAGGGTAGAATAAGTCTTCAGCAACCCATGCTTGCCGTAAAAGGCGACTATGCTTGTCGTAAAAGGCGACTAACAGGATCGGGTGGTCAGGCTCGCTGACTTGGTTGATACATGTCATCGATCCCCAATCCGTAGATCAATGCTCATGATGTCAATCACTGGATTGTCTGGTCCCAACTTGATTATTTTACAGACCGCCATCATATAGCTGGAATATTGCTGAGTGTGGCGTTAAACAACAAACAAACAAACAAATTATTCACATATGTGTATAGAACATACCTCAGTCTCCTCCCATTGATATATATTTCAGTTGGATATAGTAAAACCCTGTTAGTGCAGATCATTGTGTGTGTTAAACTTATCCATGTTTATGAATTTCCAAACTATTTGATGTAGCATGTTTTGGTGAATCAATAATCGAAAAAAGAATGGGGGTATACTATAGAAACAGATCTTAACGGTTCTCCTTGTTACTTACCTGATCATAAAGAAAAGGCATGTGTATCATTAAAGCAGTAAACTAGTGCTTTTAGCAATTTCTTGATTTATTGAAAGTCTTTCTGTTGACATTGAAACAATTTGAACTTGGATTTAGATGGAGTAGGGTGTTGTTCAAGATTAAAATTTAAGAATTATGAGACATGTTTTCATGAAACATGCAGAATGATTAATCAGATAGTGGACAATTGTCTTTTGCTACTGAAAAATGTTTTAAAGTTTCAAGTTGTTACTTTTTCTGGAATAAAGTTGGAGTTACATTCAGTTGAGTTGAATTTCTTCACAAGAAGAAAGTATATTAATGATATCTTCAAAAAAAATTTGGAAAATGATCAGTCAGATATTGTTGATGTGACTTTGGATATGTTTGAATATAGGCAATTTTTTATAACTTTTTTTCAGTATGTAGATTCAGTGGGAAATGGATACTGCCTTTTATTCTTATTTATGAGATTGGTGATATATTGTGAGGCTGCAGGGGGATGTGTCATATTCTTATGACTCTTGTTATCAGTGTTTGTTTAATAACATTAGCAGTTTACATTGAATGTCAAAATAAACTTTGCTAAAATATATTTAGATGTAAATTTCCTAAAAGGTGTGATTTGATCATCATATGATCATCAGTTTGTTCATTTGAAAAGCATAGCAGTAACCATTTTCTGGTTATTACCAATAATTGTGGCCGATGTAATCATTGATTAATACTTACAATTGAGTAAACCTGTTCTTAAAAAAGTTACTGAATGTTAGTAAAACAAACACACTGGAAGTTCAGCATCAAATCTTGCATAGTTCTTGCGCTCAGATTGTAACATGTTTTTGCAGGTTGGTGTCCATATCAAAGTCTATAGAACTTGAAAACATTGTATCTGGTTTTAATGAATCAATTTACCAAGTCAAGATTGTCAGGTAGAGGTATTTTCTTGACTACAGGGGCTTCAATGTACATTGCCAATAACTGATATTGGACATCACATTGGCCTGAACATATTTATACTGTATGTGTTTATTCTGTGAAAAGTTGACTTTGTAACATGTATGTCCTTTGAAGTTAGTTAATGATTAGATTGTTTGCTTGTGATCTATTTTACAGAGTTGTCATGAATTTATTCACTTGGTTTCATTTTCTTCTACTGGGTCAAAACAGATAATATTTTTCTGTTATTTTAACTATATTATTCGAATAAAAATCAGGTAGAATTGTTTGAGAATACATTGCATACAATAGTAATACAAAATATTTAAAGATCAATGAATTTCTTTATGATGCAAAAATAGAGTTCATGTGTGAGTGAATGAATGGTTGTGAATGTTTGTTCATGTATTTGTCCTCTGTATTTAACAAAGACCAAAAACATTTCCACATTTATTTTTCTGCATGGGTCTCCAACTACCCTTTTTGTAACAGATGTTCTGCCACAATTAAATGTGAATTATAAACACAATCATGTGGAAGAATTTGTACCTCATCTACTTTTGTTTGAGCATGCATTATGTACATGAAATGTATTTATGGTTTCATTATGAGAAATAGAACTCTTCTTCAATGTATATTTTAAGTCAGATTTTTTGTTACAGAGTTAGTGTATGAATGAAAGTGAGGATTGAGTAAGGATTGTAATGAGTGCTTACTGGTATGTGAAGGACTCTTCTGTTGATATTTTATGTGAAGTAATAAAAATTATAATTGAAATTTGTCTTTGTTTCTTAAATGACATAGAAAGATAATCTATTGTAAGTCTCACACATCAGGTTGGATGTCCACATACATATATGCACAGCAGTGGCATGAATACATGTAGGTTTATTGCCTGATGGGTTAAAGAGCACATGTGCATGAAGTTTCAAATTTTAACTCACTTTCAATGACTTCTCAAAATTACCTGATTTGCTTATTTCAAAGGATATTATTTCATAAACTTTTTCCAAATTATTGAAAAAAAAGTGAGTGAGTGAGTGAGTTGGGTTTAAATGTGGCTTTCCAGAATATTTCACTGATCTCACGACGTCCAGATTTAATGTAGGAGAGCCAACACCACCATGGTGGTTAAGTGATGTAGTAAGACCTGGAGGACAATGCCGGTATCTGGCTGACAGAGGGTGTTATGCAGTATGCATTCGCAATGTAGCATTGCATCCTAATTTCACCACTGCTGCTGATGGGAATCAAACTCTGGATCTTCAGTGAGCGCCCTGATGAAACAAGTGGCTGAAGGCAGGCTCTCTAACCACTGAGCTAACCCATTCCCTCCACCCAATTGAAATATTGAACACATTGGCTTAAGTACAATATTGATGATTTCAAAGGATTTTACTTTTTCGTATGTACTATGGTGAAATACACATCATCAACTTAAGTCAACATCACAGATTAAGTTTTCAAATTTTGACTGAGTTTTAAGATTATTTTTTTTCCAAATTACTGAAACTGGACCAAATTGGCTAAAGTCCAATAATGAGGTGATTTCAAAGGATGTTATTTTTATTCTTTTTTCTATTTGTTTCTCGCCTTAAAATACATTGTAAGACTTAACTGCTCCATCATAAAATGAAATTTACAGGTTTACAGGTTTTTTCACAGTACTGAAATTGGACCAAATTGGCTAAAGTCCCATAAACAGATGATTTCCAAGAATATATTTTTCTCTTCTTTTATATGTATACCTTGCCTAAATACACATAACCAGACTTAATGGCAACATCCAAGATTTAATTTTCAAATTTTGACTGAATTTTACAAGTTTTTTTACAGTACTGAAATTGGACCAAATTGGCTAAAGTCCCATAAACTGATGATTTCCAAGAATATATTTTTCTCTTCTTTTATATGTATACCTTGCCTAAATACACATAACCAGACTTAACAGCAACATCCCAGAATGAATTTTCAAATTTTGACTGAATTTTACAAGTTTTTTTACAGTACTGAAATTGGACCAAATTGGCTAAAGTCCCATAAACAGATGATTTCCAAGAATATATTTTTCTCTTCTTTTATATGTATACCTTGCCTAAATACACATAACCAGACTTAATGGCAACATCCCAGAATGAATTTTCAAATTTTGACTGAATTTTACAAGTTTTTTCACAGTAGTGAAATTGGACCAAATTGGCTAAAGTCCCATAAACTGATGATTTCCAAGAATATAATTTTCTCTTCTTTTATATGTAAACCTTGCCTAAATACACATAACCAGACTTAATGGCAACATCCCAGAATGAATTTTTAAATTTGGACTAAATTTTGAAGACTTTTTCACAGTACTGAAATTGGACCAAATTGGCTAAAGTCCCATAAACTGATGATTTCCAAGAATATATTTTTCTCTTCTTTTATATGTATACCTTGCCTAAATACACATAACCAGACTTAATGGCAACATCCAAGATTGCATTTTCAAATTTTGACTGAATTTTACAAGTTTTTTCACAGTACTGAAATTGGACCAAATTGGCTAAAGTCCCATAAACTGATGATTTCCAAGAATATATTTTTCTCTTCTTTTATATGTATACCTTGCCTAAATACACATAACCAGACTTAACGGCAACATCCCAGAATGAATTTTCAAATTTTGACTGAATTTTACAAGTTTTTTTACAGTACTGAAATTGGACCAAATTGGCTAAAGTCCCATAAACAGATGATTTCCAAGAATATATTTTTCTCTTCTTTTATATGTGTACCTTGCCTAAATACACATAACCAGACTTAATGGCAACATCCCAGAATGAATTTTTAAATTTGGACTAAATTTTGAAGACTTTTTCACAGTACTGAAATTGGACCAAATTGGCTAAAGTCCCATAAACTGATGATTTCCAAGAATATATTTTTCTCTTCTTTTATATGTATACCTTGCCTAAATACACATAACCAGACTTAATGGCAACATCCCAGAATGAATTTTCAAATTTTGACTGAATTTTACAAGTTTTTTTACAGTACTGAAATTGGACCAAATTGGCTAAAGTCCCATAAACAGATGATTTCCAAGAATATATTTTTCTCTTCTTTTATATGTATACCTTGCCTAAATACACATAACCAGACTTAACGGCAACATCCCAGAATGAATTTTCAAATTTTGACTGAATTTTACAAGTTTTTTCACAGTACTGAAATTGGACCAAATTGGCTAAAGTCCCATAAACTGATGATTTCCAAGAATATATTTTTCTCTTCTTTTATATGTACACCTTGCCTAAATACACATAACCAGACTTAACGGCAACATCCCAGAATGAATTTTCAAATTTTGACTGAATTTTACAAGTTTTTTTACAGTAGTGAAATTGGACCAAATTGGCTAAAGTCCCATAAACTGATGATTTCCAAGAATATATTTTTCTCTTCTTTTATATGTATAACTTGCCTAAATACACATAACCAGACTTAATGGCAACATCCAAGATTGCATTTTCAAATTTTGACTGAATTTTACAAGTTTTTTCACAGTACTGAAATTGGACCAAATTGGCTAAAGTCCCATAAACTGATGATTTCCAAGAATATATTTTTCTCTTCTTTTATATGTATACCTTGCCTAAATACACATAACCAGACTTAACGGCAACATCCCAGAA